AAAAAATATAAATAGCAAAAATCGAATAATTGACACAATTGGAACATAAAAAAAAAAAAAATTTTTTTGAAAAAAATTGGTCGGCGGGTTATGCAAAACGAAAAATTAACTTTGCATGGCCTTATCATGTAGAATCAAAATAAAACAATTTATTAAATTTAATTAGTGGTTATCAAGATATCTTTGCTAAAGTTTTATTTTTTGTGAAGAATGCTAGGGTTGTGCTGTTTACTAAGATGATCGTAACCTACTAATGATGTTAGAATTATGGCATATTGGCGAAAATTTTTGATAGGAATCTTATGATTATTAAAGTTAAGTGATATACGTAATGATTTATAAATATTATGCGGCTTCATGACTAGTTTTATAAACAATTTACAGCCAGGACAAGAAATTGATCAATTAAATACAATGATGATTTATAATTATTATGCGGTTTCATAAACGGTTTCATAAGCGATTCATAAGTGGAGTAATAGTTAAGGCAAGTAATTGCTGAATTGAATAATCGAATACAGTCTTACAATTCGGAAATCAAGCAAAGACAATCATCGTATGAGTAATGGAGAATTTTTTTAGATCAGAAGAATGTAATATGCGATTATCGAGATACAGTATGTCCTTAATCGAAATTGAAATAATTGCGCAAATTATTTCAAGAAATTATATTAATCAGTCAAAAATACAAAAAGGGGTTAATTTTAATATTAATATCAACTACTATAATATATAATTGTCGAACTTACAATTTAGTAAAAATATTCCCACAGAATCTGAAATAATATTAATAGAACTAATAAAAAATATTCATTATTTATATTCTTAGCTATTCCACTTATGCTCATATCAATGTTAGTTGCATTTGTTGAAGTTTCATCAGGACTGAATAATACATAAGCTTTTTGACTATTATTAAAGGGATTTTTTATATATAGACACCACTGCTTTCCAGCTTGATTTGACAGCCCCATAAATTGAGAATCACATTGAGTAGTTGTAAATTCCTTTGTATCACAATAAAATATTTTATTACTGAACGTATAATTGACCGCATTGTTCAATTCAGCTTTACTTGATGTCATAGTTACATTTTTGACATCTGAAGATACATGAAAACCAGTGCCACGGATTCGTTTAAGAGAAGAATCTCCTCCAAAATATTCACCAAATCCCGGAGTTATGGGAGTCGAATAATCAACGAGATTAATACTGAATCCTATAATTATATTTTGTATTATTAGAAATATTAAAAAAATTAGGGCTAAAATAATAATACTTACTTTTATTAACAGCGGCTGCTATATCAGAAGTACAATTCCACCAATATCCATCATGTGAAGGAAGAAGAACAATTCCTGATTCAGCATTAATGTTAATGGTAAAAATCTTTCATCGTTTAACAAAAAGTTATGTGCGTATTGAATTATGTAAATAAGTGAAATTAAAGCCTATCCTTGAATTGATATCTAGCATTTTGTTTAAACCAAGTTCAATTCTATAATTAAAGAATGCTTTACCTGAAAAACCAGGATTATGATTATAAAATTCATTTTCAGTATTAAAGTGAATGTTTTTTAATCTAATTTACTTTTCCAAAATGCTTAATATGTATTTCTGTATTTTTATATGAAATAAATAAATAAATGAGTCCTCTGCGTAGATAGTTGCACACATATAACAGTTTTGCACGTACGTACGTACATACGTACGCATGCAAAATATTATCGGTTCACCAATTTTTATCACTTTTACAAAACAAGGCACATATTGAAATAAGGTGTTGTAGTAAAGTATTGTAATAAATGTATATAACAAATATGAAGCAAAGTATGTGTACGGTGACTAGAGATGGGAAAAATGCGCATTTTATAATAAAATGCGCATGAATGCGCATTAATGCGCACGAATCGTTTCATGCGCATGATATCGCATGATAAATAAAAGGCAAAAACGATCGAGAGGAGAGAAATTTTATGGGATAAAATGCGCATGAAACGGTATCATGCGCATGAATGCGCATTAATGCGCATGATTCCTCAATTATGCGCACGCATGAAACCCATCTCTAACGGTGACTCTTTATACTGTATATCTGAATTTGATATAGTTGGGTAAGGAAAACCCTTTATACAATTGATTATTTATAAACTCTCATTTGCCGATATTACTTATTTTAGCAGACAGTTTAATTATTATTGTAACAAAATGGGTAATTATTTTTGAACCCGGACCAATTTTATATACATAAATAATAACATTTTGGCCTGGATTCAAAAATAATTACCCAAATGACTGTTGGCGCAATTCAATAGAAACTTTTTATCCTAGCACGAATCCTAACATGAATAAGAATAATTATTATCATTTTCCTAATCCAAATATCCAAAGGGATCGCTTATATAAATAAATGCCTTAACATATTACCATAGCAGCAAATAACAATATACGATACATATGAATTCATATCCTTATACGTAAAATATTATTGTTTTTTTTCCTAATTTGTATTATAGCGCCATGCATTTCTGAGATGCATTTAACATGCAAAGCACATACGTACGTACGTACGTACGTACGTAGTACGATAGCAAATTAACGAAATAAGGGTGATATTAAATTACTGGTTCTGTTGCAAAAAATTTTGTCATAAACAGACACTGCTTTGAATATGTATGCATATAAGTACTATACATATATTTCAAGCATTATGAATTTTATATTCGAAAATCTAATGTATGCAATTTTTCTAAATATACACACGCCTTTCAATACATATTCTGACTCAGTCCCAACGTTTTCAACGTTTTAATACCATTCTAAAATGCTAATTCTTAATATTTATGTGAAATTTACGATAATTAATTATATTTGATTTCAGTTATATTTTTTATTGAAACTTTTGAAGAAGTAATAATTGTTTCAATAATGTTTATTCAACTTTCTCTCTTTTTTTTTTCTCTACTAAGCTATCTATTTCTTTTCGTGACCTGTCTAAATGTCCCTGGTGCTCGAATGGGACAAGCTAGTGCAGTAGTCGGGACTAAGCTTTATTTTTTTGGTGGATTTTCGTTAATCTTAAATGCTACCAATGAAGTATGGTATCTTGACTTATCAAACTCAAGATTATTTAATACTGCTACTCCTTCATGGTATAAAGATGTTGGAATGCCTGTAGGAAATTTTTTTGCCACATCTTGTGTAAGCCCTACTAATAATTCGGCCGTTTTTATAATTGGTGGAAGGCAATGTCTTCCAAATACAAAAATTCCTGCTTTTAATTCATCTGTATATAGGTTTGATCCTAACAATAATTCTCTATGGTCAGTACCGAATGTTGCCAATTTAAATAGTACCTTTAATACACGTAATTTAGTACAAGCTGTAATTGATAATGCAAGAAGAGTTTTTATCTTTGGTGGAACGAATTTTCATGCCAATGTTAATGATAATTCTTCAACAGTTTATTATAATGATATGAATATACTTGATATTACAACTATGTCCTGGTCAACACTGATCATACCCAAAGCACTTCCATATTATTATTATACCGCTACTTTGCTGCCATCTGGTCTTATCGTTTATATTGGTGGATTAGATTATTTATCAGGAATACTTCCTGTTAATATGAGCGAGGCATGGCTTATATACTATTACTTTAAATCTATTATTCTTGATTTAATTTTAATAATTTTATTAATTAAATACAGATTCGAACTTTTAATACAACTTCTTTTATCTGGTCTACTAAAGTATATACATAAATCTGCTATTAATAACTGATTAATTTTAATATAACTATAATTGATTAATTTTAATATAACTGATTAATTTATTGTAATTTAGTCAGTTAATGGTGGTTCTATTGGATCTCGAGTAGGTCATTCGGCCGTTTTAAGTAAGTACGCTATATATATAATATTTAATAATCTATCAATTTTTCTGACTTATTTTTAATATCAGGTCAAAATGGTGACATTATTATTTATGGTGGTTCGGAACTTAGTCCCTTAGGTCCAGAAGTACTTCCTAATCTCTGTGTATTAAACACAAATTCCTGGATATGGTCTATACCAAATATTCCTCCTGCAAATACTCCACAATCGCTTACCCTTCATTCCGCTGCATTATATAACAATTATATGATTGTTGCATTTGGTAAACATCTTCATTTGATGATAAAAATAACTAGAATTATAAAATTACTAAAAATTATTCAATAATTTATAAATTTAGGAATTATACCATCAACTGGTGATTTATATAATAAAGATGTTTATGTCCTTGATATTCAAAAGTACACGTGGGTTGGCATTAATAATACTGAGACTCCAACTCAAGATCTTCCGATAAGTAAAAAAAAACAGACAAACAAAGCACAAAGTTCTTCAAATTCTTCATCTGCTAACGGGCTATTAATTGGAATTGGTGTTGTGAGTGGAATTGTATTGATTGGAATGGCATCATTTTTTGGATTTTTATTATACAAAAGACGGCAGAAAAATTGTAGCTAGTACTTAATACATAATAGCAATTTTTTTCTGAGCATCGAATTCTTTCTAATTTTAATAAAAAATAAAATTAATTATTATATACATACATGAACTGTAAATTTTATTAAGGCCAGACCAATTTAATTCTTCGTTTAACATAACTCCCTCTATTTTATAAAATTTATATTAAAAAAATATCATGTTAACCAAACAAATTACAGTCTTAATTTTTTAAAATTTGACAAATTTTCAGCCGATCAAATTACTGTGTTTTTATTAATTTGTGTTTTTTTTGATACCTTCCAATTTGTAGTGGCCTAATATAAATAAAATGATTGTGCTATATATTTTGACTCATGTTTCTGGCGAAATTGTTTTTTTATTTCAAAGTATTTTGGATTCAACAAATGATCAGAAACAAATAAATATAAATCCGACATTTCCGATCAGAAACAAATAAATATAAACTAGCTCTCAGACCCGGGTGTTGCTCCGGGGGCTCGGTTTCAATTTTTTTTAGTTTTTAAGTATTTATTAAATATAATTGTTTGATTTATTAATAT